CCCTCCCCCCCCCGGCCCCCAAGCCTCCCAGAGCTGAATTTAACTTCAGTGTGGGTTTTAAGGATTTAAATGGTAAGAACGATCATTTCTTTCCTTAAGTAATTTGAAATCATAATGATAACCAACACCTGTATGGAACTACAATTTGAAAACAAAATATCAGGAACCTAGACATGATGATAAGTGTAATTTTTATAAGTGCTGGATTCAGATTGCATTTTTGTGTGTGTGGACCAAATTGAGAGGCCAAAGAGACACCTGTGCCCATAATGAAAAGGAATACTATCCTGCATTTGTGTAAAGTCTCGAAACAATCTATTTTTTTTTTTAAGAAATAAAGAGAGTGTCTTATTTCTAAGCCCTTAGAATAATAAGAAATAGTAGTATAAGAAAATATTAATAGGAAATGTTTCTTCAAGGATAATGGTCAACGGTCCATTTCATAATGATTGCTAACATGTGACCAAATGCTTCCTAATATAATATATTTTCGTTTATATATAATTAATATGTAATATGATATATTTGTTCTATTCGATAGTATTCTTCTTCCGGAGATCATCATGTTATTTTATTACCAAAAATCTCTCTTCTTATTTAGTGCAGAGACAATCTTTAGCCCATGTGTTATTAAGATTACAATGAATCTTGAAGTCATCGCTTCCAAATTAATGAGAATTCATTGTAACTCTTGAAAAAGATTTTCCAAAGACTGGCAGTGCTTGCCAACAGAATGAAAGGCAAAATAATAGAGAAACCCAATGACAGAAATCCAGAGTCCCAAGTTTTATTTCCGTCACTCACTGGGTTTCTTTGTTTCTGTCATTTTCAGTAATTTTTTGATAAACACCTAAATGCCAATGCCTGTATCTTGACAAATTATAAGGCTTCCAATTTTCTCTTTTACCCATTCTCTTTTCTATGTGCTATGTAAATTTATTATTCTGTTCCATCATTTCCATCATAACATTGAATGATGGTAACATTCACGAAGTTTCAAAAGAGCAATACACTTCCGTAAACTTATGACATTAATAGATACCATATCCTTGCCCATCTGAACGAGGCAGATTTGCCTCATCACGTTCATAACAGCTGAAATCGATTCAATTGAAGTTTAAATTTAATCTTTACTTCAGTTCGATTATAGTCACTTCAACTAATGCTTTCGAAGCACTTACTCAGTGCCTGATATCAAGAGAGTACTGAAGATGATAGGAACAAAGAAACCCAACAATATATAAACATAGTGATGCTAAAGTGCAGTACCAAGAAACTCGTCATTAAGGAGACAAGAAGTGCACAGATGGCACAATTCAGGCACAGAACGAAACCATAAAAAAGTACTGATGTGTACCAAAAAATTAAATTTGTTGGGAATTAGGTTGGGAATAGATTTTTTTTACCATCTTCGCTTAAATACAATTACAATGAATGACACTCGAAATCATTCATAGAGTTAGTGACAAACTTCAGAACGGAATTCATTTCTATTTTGTTCCCTAATTCCTTACTAATCGATTCTATATTGATAAATTTAGCATTTTAATTTGCTTTGGGAATTGTTAATGTAAATATTATTATGGGAATTTTGTCCCTAAAATGTTTATAAAGGATTAAAATCATTTGCTTATATATCAATAGTCACAATGTAATTGATAACATTAGGAAACAATGAATATGCTTCCTTCGTTCTACATATATTTTCTCTGAAAACATTTTAAATTAACTTAATTTTATAAAGATGTTATATGTAAAAATGGCTTAGAAGAAAATAAACCCTTTTTACACAGTTAGGAGATCTAAACTTTAATCCTAGCACTGTGCTCTAGAATTGTTATCAGTAATATAATATGTGACATGGTTTTTTATCATGATGATGTTTGGTAATAAATTATTTCACAAAGCTTTATGCTTATTTATGACTGAATAGGCTTCATTTCCACCCTCCCATTTTCTAATTCCAGTTCATCCTACACATAGTAGCCAGAATTCTCTTCCCTTCCAATCTGCCCACCCTTCGTTCATTAATTTGCCATCCACTGTCTGCCTGATCATCAAAACACTCTCACCAACACCACTCCTACACCATGCAGCCTAATCAGCTTTCAAGACCACATGCCTCATTTCCACGTCCTCTCACACATGAAGGAAACTCTAATGAGAACTATCCCCCCTTTACTCTCCTCGCTCTAAAAATTTGTGTCCATCCTTTCTTTCAAAAGTTAACTTATGAAGTCTTTACTCTTTAATCAGACACACAAAAAAATATTGTTTACTCCTAATTCTCTTAGTGCTTTATTTCCTCCTATTTTCCATTCCTTTTTTTTTTTTTTATGTGAGAGTTCCTATAGTTGGGTGGTCTGTCTACAGAAGCTCTATCCTCACCCCCAAATCTCAAAGTATATTAAGCCCAGTTAGTTGGCACCTACTTTCTTCCAAATGTATTTATCAGCGGACTCTGCCCTCCAAAGGCCAGGAAAGAACTTTCTATTCGTTTCCAATATCTCCCCTCCCCTACTTTTCTAAAACGCTAAGATCTTCCACCAAAATATTCAAGAATTCCCTATTTAGGCAGCTAATCTTGGATTTAACTTTACAGCTATTCTGTGAGGTCCCTCAATGTAAGGAACACATTTTTCTCCTTTTCTTTTTTTAGGGAGGATGAATTTTTTTTTTTTCAGCTCTATTGAGGTATAATGGACAAATCAAATTGTAATATATTTGAAGTGTACAACATGAGTTCATTAACATATCTGTCATCTCACATTTGTATCTTTTTGTGTGTGTGTGAGAACATTTAAGTTCTACTTCTTTAGAAAATTTCAATTGTACAATAGAGTGTTATCAACTGTAGTCACCAATTATACATTAGAGCCTCAGAATTTATTCATTTTACAACTGAAAGTTTGTACCCTTTTACCAATCTCTCCCACTGAAGTGTGACAGTGGTGGAGGAAAAAAAAAAAAACTTTCTTTCTGATTATACTCTTTCGAGTTCAGTTAATAGAATAAATTGGTCACACAGGCATCCTGTTATGCCAATTCTCATGCTCATCATTGTCAAATTTTAGCCAATAGAGAAATTTTCCCTAAGTAATTCCCTCTCACAACCATCGCCACTGAACAATTTCCCCTGCAGTCACCTTTACATAAAGATGAGCTAAAAAAAGTTACGTAATCTTTAGTAAAGATTCTCCACCAATTTTTGAGGAAATGCTACATTTTAAAGGAGTAAATGGGAGTTTCTGTGGCCTCTTGATGACACTGTAAGAACATAGACCCCTCAAAGTAGCGTGTAAGCCACTCAGCCATAGGCTCCAGGTCTAAGAAAAAGCCACTGCCACCAAGACCAGATTAACTCAGAAGTCACTCACTGTCAGGCTGACTGGAGCCCATGAAATTTTTTCTGTTTATGAAAATTATCCCATTGTCATCAATTGACCTGTTTTGTTTCAAGATGTATCTTAAG